AGTAAAATTTTGAATGCAGGACTTTTACACTGTGTTATTACCACTTAATTTTTTTTTAATTTATTAATTAAAAGTATAAGATCGGAGTACTTCTTCCACCACTGTTGAAGACTAAGTAAAGTCCCTCTGCAGATGAAGACCATGAGGTTGAAAGCTCCAGAAAAGCTAATAAACGGACCTTGAGTTAAGATTATTTTGTCACAAACAATTCGTTTTTGCTGCACATCCAGATCCAGTGGGCTTTTCTTATCACTGAATATGGAGTGACTTTGAATATTAGAAATAATCGGGAACATGTATCATATGATTGTCTCTTCTCATGTCGATCTGGACACAGCTGCAGTTCATATTTATGTCTGTTGTTATTGATAGAGGTATGTGCTCCATCAGCTACTCTCTTTTGTCCTGGCACAGTCCCAGCTTTCAGTGTACCTGTGATATACTGCTCTGTCACTGCAGCCTCTATTTAGTCCCTAACTGTCAAACACCACTTCTTTCTTTCAGCCCAGTGTGTATGAAGACACTGAGCTGCTGTGAGATGTCACGTTGCTGCAGTCTAAATCTGCAGCTCTGCCTCAGTTGTGGGAGTTACTGGTATCATATCCTCCCTCCGCTGCTGCAGATTAAACAATGGAGAGACACGCTTGAGATCGCTGTGTGTATTCACCACTCTGAACTGTCACAGCAGAGGTTTAAAGTGACAGCATCAAAACAAAACAACACACTATTGCATTACAGCATTGTCAGTACAGAGACAAAGTAAATATCCTGTGCTCAGTTGATTTCAAAGTTAAAACTGTGGGCAGTTTCATCTCTTTATCTGGTACCAATTACTGTATAGAATACATAACATTTCAATACCACAACTTTTTCCTCTTATTAAATTGCTGTAAAGTATTTTGGCAGTGGTAGAAGAGGAAGTACTCAGATATTTTACATCAGTAAAAGCAGCAATGTCATAGTGTAAAAGTCCTGCATTCTCAATCATACTAAAGTAAAAGTACATAAGAATAAGATCTGTCATATAATTGGATGATAATTGTTGATGCATTAATGTGTTCATCAGTGGGAGCTAATTTGAATAACTTTGTATACTGCCATTTTTCTTAATCCATCATAATACGTCATCATCAATCTGTTTATTTATATTTAATATTAATAATCTGAGTCTGCAAAGCAACTGAAGTTGCCAGATAAATGTAGCGGAGTAAAAAGTACAATGCTGGCTTATTAATTGCAGTGGAGGAGAAGTATAAACGCCTCAAAATAGTACTTAAGTAGAGAGAGTACTTGAATGTACGTGACACTCCACCACTGCATGTTTTGGTCACACTCACTATCGTCTAAACACAGTCCAAAAAGCTCAGTAAAACACTTACTTTAAATCAAAATAACAGATTGTTATTATAGTATGAACATAGTTAATCATGAACCATGTGATTCCACCTGACTGCTTCTCCAAATTATGGGTTTTCATTCCAATAAGTCACCTGAAACCAACAGTATCAGTCATCACACATACCTGCTGAGTGCAGCCAAGTAAATCTAGCTCACATGGGACTTCTTCTCCTGTGTAGTGAAGATATATCCAAAGCCGTGGTGTCTGATCCAAACAAGCGCAGACCTGCCTCCAGCCCAAACAAACAGTCTTCACAGAGTCGCACTGTGTCCTCCTTCACTAATTAGTGTGATGTTTGAGATGTAACAGAGCAGTGGTCTTACTTTGGACAAATGAGGAAGCTCGGCTGGCAGGAGGAAACACGTCCCATGTTGGTGGCAGTGGTGACATCACAGCCTGTTGAACCTGTTCTCCTCTGGAATTAGAAACATTTTACTTCCCACAGAGTGAAAACCAAACCCTCTTTACCTGTTCACCGGTTTGCCTGGTGTGAATATGCAAACTCATCCTGAGGTGGCTCTTTGTTTACAGCACAACATATATTATCTGCAACACTGGCTCTGAAAACATACACAATTTCTGTTACCAAGAAAGGTGATAGAATCGTGTATGTAAATATAAATGTGTTTACTGGATATCTATGCAGTAAGTAAAGTTAGTGTGAATATTACAAAATAACAAAAACAGTGTACAGTATTTCCTTTGAGTATTTGTAATTGTAAATGCTTCATAAATACAGTTGTCACAGAGTATTTGCAGTATCTTGGTTCAAAAGGTAGTCATAGTAGTATCATAGTCTCTAAGATTTGTTTTGCTAAACATGTCATTCATTCATTCATTTATTCATTCATTCATTTATTCATATTTATACAGGAGGGTCCAATGAGAGTAGTTCACTCTCTTTTGGATTATCAAAGTTAAAAACTCTTAATAACCCCTATAACCCCTATTTAATATTTATAACCAGTATATAAACTTTGATTTGAACTCCATACTGAGCCCCAACATGTCCAATATTCATTTATTTTCCATAACCTTATCCTGTCGGGGGTCACAGGGGGGCTGGAGCCTATCCCAGCTGACATTGGGTGAGAGGCAGGGTACACCCTGGACTATCACAGGGCTGACACATAGAGACAGACAACCATTCACACTCACATTCACACCTACAGGCAATTCAGAGTCACCAATTTAACCTGCATGTCTTTGGACTGCCAGAGTACCCGGAGAAAACCGTTGTCTGTTTGCATGTTCTCATGTTCTGAACATGCAGACTCTGCACGGAGGGGGCCCCCCACCCCGGGTTCGAACCAGGAACCCTCTTGCTGTGAGACAACAATGCTAACCGCTGCAACACCATGTCGCCCTCTGATATTTATTCATTCATTAATCAATAATTAAAAAATAAAAATGTAGGGCAGGTTTTTAGTGGGTAACTTTTATCAATATTTTTGTCATAGTTTCATATTTGCTCAAACTGTAACTGTATCCTGACAGAGGTAAACTAAACAATAATCTGTTGAGTTACTGCCCCAAACAAGCGAGGTTAGAATAAATTGTGAGTTAGATCAGCAGTTTGATGCATCTGCAGTAATCATCTGGACATCCGGAGGGAGCTTGGCGTAGAGTCGCTGCTCCTTTGCATCGAAAGGGGTCAGTTGAGGTGGTTCGGGCATCTGTTCAGGATGCCTCCTTCCATTAGAGATGTTCAGGCACGTCCAACTGGTAGGAGACCCGGGGCAGATCAAGAACACGCTAGAAAAATACATTCTCACTCCAACCTCGTCACATGTTGATGTTTGGTCATGGACTTTCCACGTCCAGATATCACTTGCAAGGTACCCTGGGTGCTTTGGTTGTTGACGTTCTGGGACAACATGTCAATTTCTCTTCTTTCAAGATACACTTCGGTTTTCACAGGAAATTTAACGTTTACAAACAGTCTCTTTTAAAATAAACACACTATGTTGGTACAACACTGCGAATTGACATTTTTTTTCCCTTCAACAACAAAAGCATGTGGTTGGGTTCAGGAAAAAAGAACAGGGTTTGGCTTCAGAATCTTACGGGACGCGACCACCGCTCTCTCAGGTGAAAGTCGACATTTGTTGGACCCGCCACCACCCCACCCACGCGTCCCTACTCGGACTTTCGCTGCCTTAACTTTAGTCCTTGTCCCGCCGTGTTACCCCCAATGCCGCCGGGCACTGTTAAACAAAATGGCAACCAGACGCGTTTCATGTAGAAGTTACAGAGTGCTTTTTTTCGTTGGCTTCTGTCGCCGCAAGTCACTCCCCATGCGCCGGATTTCAACGACTTCAGAGTGAGACTGGGCTCACTGGAGGGTTTATATATCTTGTCTTGCCTGGGAAAGCCTCAGGATCAGGGGGAGCTGAAAAACGTCGCTGGGGAGAGGGACGACTGGAGTGTTTTGCTTAACTGTGACCCAGCCTTGGATAAGCAGTTGACCACGGGTGGATGGATCATTAAATGACATTTGCAAAAATCTCTAGGGCAGCTGTCAATCACTGCTTATGTACACGCTTCACTGCTGACAGCAGCTTGCACAGCAAAGGTAAGTAAATAGAGGAAGATCGTTGATGGAAGAAACTTGCTTTCACTTTACAGAAAACCAGCGGTCTTCTTCTGTTTACTTGTTTTTGCCATGTATGTTAATGTTGGCAAAGGATGGAAGGGCAGGTTTTTTATTGCTGGTGATTGTTGGAGACCCCTCTGCTCTGATTGGCTGTTTCTATTCAGGTGCGGTGGATTCTTGCAAATGCTATTAGGAGCACTGGGAGGAGCCAAAGGGACACAATTTTTTCCACAGATTAATGTCTCATGTACTTCTGTCAGGATACATTGACAGTTCAGCAAATATGACAAAAAGTTAATTCTATAAAAGTTACCTACTGTCGCTTTAAGTTATGCCTCACAGAGCTGTCAGCCTGACCCCAGAGTCCGTCTTGTCAGATTGTATCTTGGTACTCACAGCTGGTAATTATGGTACTGTTTTCCTACATGTAAAAACTGTGTGCTACTTATATCTGTGTCTTGTTTCTCATTAATCTATGATCTATAGTGTGCTCTCAAAAAATGCTACAATGCAACTCCTTTGATGAGCGCACCATTAGTTATGATTCTTATCTGCCTGTCATGTTGCTGTCACGCAGGAATGAGAAACACAATGTTGCTTTATCTGTATATCTCTTTCCTCCTGTGGATCATCACTCAAGTGTTTTCTTTCTGTCTTTCTTTTTCTATTGTTTCCTCTATAAGCTCCATTTCTCCTCTTCACTTTCAGATTTAAATCCTCCTCTGCATATTATGTTGTTGACTTTCATGGCCCATGTAGATGCTTCTCATAAACATGTTAATTGATTAATTTACCATTGAACTATATTGTCTGGTAAACGTATTCATGATAAACTTATATTTTTTTTTCACACTGGAAAAGTCAGAAAGAGTTTAAGTCAAAGTTAGCTCAGAAATTAAATGTCACATTTACACACAGTGACATCATGTTGTAGAAAATCAGGCTTTTAATTAAGACAAAGCTAAATACCGTTTAAAAGTAATTAAAACTCTCATGAGTACATTATTACTTTTGTAATCCAAATTCATTTTATTAAGAAAAATAGGAAGATGCTAGGTTGATCCTGATTGGCCAAAAACCAAAGTGACATCACAGCTCATCTTTAGATGTGTCGTTGGATGCTACCTCTTCAGACACATGGGCCTCCTGACAGAGGGAAAGATAAAACAGGAGACTGGTGAGTGACGTAGATTTATAATTATGGGCAAATATATAAAGTAACAGTAAAAATACGAACCTCATCACCATCCTCATCATCTTCCTCATCTTCATCATCTTCCTCCTCCTCCTCCACTTCCTCTTTAGGCAGCACTCCTCCATCATCCAGGAACTTAGAAAAAGTCTCCAGATCTCTTTTTCCCGTGTAGTCGACCACCTGAGAGGACGAGATGGAGAGACAGAGAAGAAACGATGGAGGATAGGATAAAAAATAACCAAAGGCTCTTCACACAAATGGTACGAATGTGTCTGCATGTATGTTTTTTGTTTTATGTCTTAAGTTTTTATGTTAATGTACAGCACTTTGTTTCGGCTGTTGTTGTTTTTAAAGTGCTCTATAAAGTTGAGAGTTGAGTATGTACAGTTTGTGTGAACGGACATGTGTGTGAGTTCATGTGTGTACCTCTTTGCCACCAGCTGGGAAGTATTTGAGTGTTGGGAATCCTTCAATGGGGACAGACTCCACCTCGTTGGCCGTGGCGTCCATCTTGGCTATGATGATGTCATCTTTGTCGGCATACTTTTCGCCCAGCTGTTCCCAGATGGGCGTCAGTTCCTTACAGTGGCCACACCATGGAGCATCTGCACACACACACACACACACACACACGGTTTTATATCAGTGTTTCCTTAAGTCACTGCAAAACATTTATTTTAACATTAAAAAAACCCACAAAGTTTCTCAAATTTATTTTCAAACAAGGCAGATGGCTTTCTGTCAGGTTTGTTCCAAACACAATGTAAGGTAGGAGGTATGTTAAAGGAACAGTTCACCCAAAATAACAGAACACTAACCTCCCTCTGGTCCCAGATCAAGTTATATATTGAAAGGTGTTACGTAGTACAGTGGAGAATTTGGGCCATTGAGGGGAAAACAATTTGAGATTCTGAGAATATAATTATAATACTATGAGAATAAAGCTGTAATTTTGAGAAGAAAAAAAAAACCCTCAGAATATTATGAATAAAGTTATACTATTTCAAGTAACAAAGACGTAATACAATACAAACAAAATCATAATTTCATGAGATAAAAATTCTAATATTGCATGAATCAACTTGTAAATTTAAGTATAAGTTTATTTATATATTATTACAACTTTCTCCCATAAAATTACAACTTTATTCTATTAGTATTGTGACTTTATTTCTTTCTTTTCTTTTCTTTTGTACCTCAATGTGGCCCTAATATTTTGAATGAAAAAGAGTGGAGTACGCAAAAAAACCAGAGCATATGTGTGCAAACAGACTCGGACAAACAAGGCGGTCAAACAAAAGACAGTAAAAACGTTATAAAACCTTCAAAAATCTTCCTGAAAATTCCTGTGCAGTGTTGTCCAAGTGTCTTGTATCTATTTGTGGACTTATGGAAATCCAATCAAAACTGCTTTCACTAAACTATTCTATAGTCTGTTTGCACTGATGGGCTTTCATTTTTCAGGTGCTCCGCTCTCCTTAACACAATTTAACATATAGCGTTTTCTGGGACCACAGAGAGCCCAGGAAGGTGAGCACTGTGTACTTTTATTTTTTTCCTTTAGGTCAACTTTTCCTTTAATACTGTCACATTCAGATCACATGATGGAGGATAAGATTGGAAATAATCTCTGTATCACCTGGCTTTCTTATCACGTGGCTGCTTCTCACTCGTTACTGGAGATCCTAACTGTCTTTGCGCTAACGCTGAATGATGTTAGCTGTCTAACACTGAGCGACGGTTGTATGATTGTAAAGTTGTTGAGGGGTTACACAGTCCTGTGTATGGTCACTGCAACACAGTATCAAATAAATTAGGGTTGAACGACCTTGAATGACTTTGAAGCTGACGATGAGGCGTCCAGGTTCATCAGAGCTTTCAGATTAATCCAGTTTTTCTAGGCATAATTGTGATGTGATTGTTAATATTAATGATATTTAAGGGCAGGCAGACAAACTGACTTACAGAACTCCACAAAGACGTTTTTAGTCGGGTCCAGAGCAACAGACTCAAAGTTCTTCCCCACCAGGACTTTGACTGGTCCTTTGTTCCAGTCCTCTGGGATCTCCTCAGACCGATAGTAGGGCTGCACCACAAAACAAGATTATTAATATTGTGTTTACTGCTGCTGTGAAATTGAGACTTGTATATGTGTATGTATGTGTGTGTGTGTGTGTGTGTGTGTGTGTGTTACCTTGGCAGTGCCGTCCACAACCTCCTGGCACAGCTGTCTCAGTGCATCTGTGGTGAGACCTCCTGCAGGGATGGTGAACTTCTTTGATGTGTCCATGTCGATGATGCGTGCGGTGGGGGCGTCCTTCTCGGACACGCCAAAGTATTTCAGCACATGAGAAATAGCCTCTGACACGTCGATCGCAACAAACAGCATCTACATAACACACACACACGCAGGAGACATGACAAGCAAAGACAATAAGGTAAAGGAAGTTTTGGTCTTTCTGTCGCTGGCTTCATTTCAAACACACACACACACACACACACACACACACACACACACACACACACGACTGTTACCTTGCCCTTGAACTCTTTGGCAATGGCCCTGGATTCGTCCACCAGGGCTTTCTGACTCTCCACAGAGGAGTTGATGAACAGCAAGCTGTGCAGGAGGATGCTGGAGGTGAAAATCTTCTCTGCAGTCTGAAAACACACACATAATGTCAAATATAACTTCTATACAATTATACATTTAATTTCAAATTATTATATAATAATTATATAATTAAGTATGTTAAGTTGTTACCTCCTGGCTGAATGGGATGATCAGCTCCAGGCTGTTTTCCTTGATGAAGGCGGTCAGATTTTTTTTATCCAGCTTCCCGTCTTCTGACAACGAAAAGTCTGCTCTGCCGTCATCAAACTAAAAAAACAAAACACACACACACACACACGTTTGTTTGACTCAACTTTGGCAGACCTAAGCCAAACCTTTTAACCTACACTTTGTTCTGACGCAATGGGAAAATAAATCGATGGTCACTCTACAGACACTTTACCAGCAACAAATTTGATAATTGCTTAGTTGTATATTTATATATGAAACAAAAGCTTCCGACTGTGGCTCATTTGTAAGAATTTTCTGCTTTTCATTGTGTTATATCATTTAAAAATTCAGTATATTATATATTTGTGTTTGGGCTGATGCTTGGACAAAACAAGTAACTCTTAACATATAACACAAACATTTAACCGGGAGACACAGGGAAATAAAATTGAATAAAACAAACTATGGTTAGCATGTAACCATGTCCCTTCATCACTCTTACATAATCGTTTGTATTTATTTTGAAGGCCTAACTCAAGCCTTGTCATTACTCAGTCGGAGTCAGTAAAACATCTTTCTATCCATGTGAGGATATCTGGGCCTCACAGAGGAGCATACTGTATGCACTCGATGGCAGCAAAGCTAACATCGCTGCAGCTTCTTGTATCTTGTGCTGCCTTGGTATAGAACACTTGACTGTGCCTTCCAGTTAGTATCATGACATGTTTGCACCTTTTTGAAGAGCACCACTGAGCTGGCTTTGACTTCATACTTCTGGAAAACCTCTGGACTCGCTGACAGAGCAAACTCTGTGTCAGTAATATCCAGAGCGAGCTCCTTGAACACCTTGGCCACCTCACCATCCAGATCCTAATAAAGAAACAAATCAAAATATGAATATGAATGTAAGTATGTGATTAAATGGTTTACTAGTAAGGATAAATAAAACAGGTGAACGTACATCAAAGAATCCCACAATAGTGATGTTATGGGAGTCGATGAACTGAGCTGCAGAGTCTGCAGAGTCGAGCACCAGAGCACCAGGGCCTGCACGACGCTTCATCCACTTGATAATTCCCTCAGTTGACCTCTTACCTGGAAAACACGCACATACAAATTCATATCAGGCGCTTTAACGCACACGGATGTGAGATAAACAGAAAACTAAAGTGATAGTGTGGCTCAAACCAGCCAGGTTAAAAAAATATGCAAAAACATGCTGATTCAGGCAAACAGGGCAAGTTAGCAAATGAAACTGTGAACACACACACACATACAAACACACACATACACTGATCCGGTTTACTGCTAAGGCACTATATAGGTACATATAAATAAAGAAAGTTTGACATTTTGGGAAATACACTCATTTGTTTTTTTGTTTTTTTTTTCCTGCGACTCAGAGGAGAAGATATACCACTCATGCATGCTTTCATTAATAAAATGAGTATTTTTGAACACTGGAGAGAGCCATGTTTCCAGTCTTTATGCTAAGCTAAGCTAAGCTAACCAACTTCTGAGATGTAGCTTCATATTTAGCATACAAAAACCTGTATGATAAATACGGAATGAAGGTACAGCCATCAGCCAGTTAGCTCAGCTCAGCGTAAAGACTAGACAGTTAACCTGGCTCTGTCTAAAAGTAAAAAATACCCGGTCAGTCACCGCCCCCTCTCTACGGAACGCACTAACCACATCACCTAACCTAACCACATCAAAAATGCCCCCACACTGACAGCATTCACAAAGACTCTCAAGACCCACCTCTTCAGACAGCTAACCCTCCATGTTTTTATTCCCTAGTTGACTCAATCAGTTTTAATCTTTCATTTTATTTTATTGTCTTTATAAAATAATTGTCTGTTTTTCTTTCATATATCCTACTCTTCGTAAAGCGCCCTTGAAAATCGCTACATAAGTATGATGTATTCTTCTTCTTCATGTTATTATTATTAAAACTGTAAAAAAAAAAATGACGTGGTTTTGCAGGTGCTGGACTAGTTCTTCTAATAATTGTTTAATTCTGCTAGACGTAACAACAAATCATTTCTCTGGTACCACCGTGACAATTACCAAAAATTAAAAGGTGCTGATATTGTGGGTTTATGTGGCCTTGGTCCAGACACTGAATCTGCCCACTCCACCAAGTTCAAGTTGATTGATTCGTCTGACATCATGACATGAAAAAGTGGTTTCTCGCTTAAAATAAAAAACAATCAATGAGCGCCGCGGGCAGGGCTAATGATGTTGTCAGACTGGGGCGCGTTCAATCTGAAAACCTTGTGCAACATTTTGCTACAGTTTCTGGGTTGAACAACGTCTTTTCTTGAAATGGTGTAAAACAGACTTTGAGGTACACTTTCTCTCAACTGGTGTGTGTTTCAGAGGTGTTAACCAATCAGCAGCGACATGTATATAAACCGAATTCTGGTAGATCTTTACTCATTGTACGAGCAGTTGTGGTTCTTAATTCACATTGTGCAATGTAAACATATGTTCGCCGGTAGATAGAGACCTTTGAAGTGACCTGAGTCACACTAAATTAAAATGCAGTGCTCCTTTGAAACACAATAGGGTCTTCGATACACCAGCTTTTCTGTTTAATGCAGCCCTGTTGTGAGTGCTATAGATGGTGCTATCAAGGCTGTTCTAAATCAACGTGTATTTTCAATATTGCCTGACATTATAGTTTGTTTTTACTTCGCAGTGTGGACTTAAAATGACTCAGACTCAGGTGGATACGTTGGTCTCAAGTCATTGGTTCGGGAAATGTCAGACTGAAGATGGAATTGGAGTTTAAGGAGTTGACCATTCTGTCTGATATTATTTAAAGATTTTTGGAGAGAGCTAGGGTAAGTGTTTCCTTAGGTTTCCAGTCTTATGTTAAACTAAGCAAAGCTAAGCTAACTGTCATCTGGGTAAAGCTTCACAGTTAACACACAAACATGATGGTGGTATTAAAATCTTCTCAACTGATTTTTTGAAAAGAAAAAATTAACCAGATGCACAGTCAAATATTAAAGACAAAACTGTTGATCCAATCAAATAGCTCGAGGCATGTAAAAGACAGTAGACAGGTTTGGCAATGATCAGGTAAGGTAAACACACACACACTCGACAGTAGGTTCACACATGACTGTAACTGTCAGGTTACAGTTTGTGATGATGCACACTGTGGTTGTGACTCTGAGAGGCACAGCAGCGTTACCAGTGTGTGCCCGTGTGTGCCTGTGTGTGTGTTTACCAGTGTAGTCGACGGGCTGTTTGCGGTCTCCGTTCACAAACAGTTTCAGAGTGGGGAAACTTCCGATGTCAAACTCCTCGGCCAGCTCCCTCTCCTCTGTGGCGTCCACTTTGGCCAAACGCATCACTGCTTCCTCCTTCAGCTTCCCAGCAGCCTCTGCATAATGTGGCTCCAGCTGTTTACAGTGGCCGCACCAGGGGGCATCTGCACAAACACACACATACACACTCTCTTTATACAGTAGGGGACTGAGTTCAAATGTGTCTCCATGTAGAAGAAATACTCAAAATCAATAACCAAAGCAGCAGACATGCAGCTTTACTCCGCAGGCCTCTGTTCGGTTGGAGCTATCACATGCAAAGATACACATGGAAATACGCTGCTGATAGCAACAGTGGCAGTTTGGCTCGGCCTTTATCTCCCTCACTTCTTTTCCTTGGCGTGACCTCTCCGCTCGCCGCGTTGACCTCATCTGTGGGAGAGTTTAACAAGAGAGCATCTGGACAGGAGAGGCCACGTGTTCTCACGTTTGGATGATGCCTCAGAGCTCATGAGGCTAAGAAGAGACGAAAAGACATTTATATTGTGATAAACACTTCAAACTCAAGTTTCACTTAGTTAGCTATTCCTGAAGCTTTCACGGCCTTCCTCAGCTTCATTTTAGTATTCAGTAGGTGCAGATTTCGGGGAGAGGATGCCTTATTATCTGAACATGTGCATTTGTCTCTGCCAATAAAGACATGAACATAGCAGAGACTTTTATTTTGACAAAATTAAAGACAATCTGGGGCAAACACATTCACCAGAATGCAGGAAATTAAGTGTTTGATGCTTAACTTTTGTGGCAGAGGACCCTAAACCTCCCGTTTTATGTGTCCCCCAAATTAAAGCTATGCCCCTGTGTGCTCCCCGGGTCAAGAATGATCCTTCATCTTCATTTCACTCCTCGGTGTCTGCATGAGTTCTGTAGAAAAGTGTGAATCTTGGACACCTTTTAACAAAAAAAAGGTCAATGCCAATCCATTTTAGCTGAACATATGTTGTCACTGATGCTAAAAAGAGAGCAACAAACGTAAGATATAAGAAGTAAGAGGAGCAGATGTTCACCTATTTGGAGCAAAAAACATTGTGCATCATTAATAGTGATCCCTACATGAGATATAATTCAGATCTACTTACAGAATTCAACCAGCAGAAACTTATTTTCACTGAGAGCTCTGGCAAAGTTGTTGATGTGGAGAACCATCACATCCTTCTCCTCCTCTATCTCCGTTGTTTTCTCCTTCTTTGGTGTCTCCTCGGTTTCCTCCTCCTCCCCCCCTGGAGTCTCCTCAGTTGCCTCTTTCGATGTGTCTTCTTGTGTTTCTGTCTGTTTGGTGTCAGTGTCGTCGGCCCGGGTGCAGGAGGCCCACAGCAGCAGGCCCAGCAGAGTTATGGACAGAAGTGTGTGTGTCCTCATGTTGCCGTTTCTGTCTGAGTACCTGCGCTCAGGTGTGGACAGCCACAAAAAAATGTGTCACTGAAAGTTTGTACCTTTATCTGTCTCAGATGGAGAGTGTGTGTCAGAATTTTACTGGCCTTCTGTGTCATCCAATCAGATGGTATGTCTGCGGGGGACTCTTTTCTGTGTAAACCAATCACGTGCTGCCCTGTAGATTCAGAGCTGAACAAACTGGCTGTTTGTTAAAGCTTTGAGAACTCTTTATCTTTCTCTCCTTTTTGTTTTGTATATTTTAAAATGATTTTCTTCTTGATTTAGCTTTCAGTCCTTGTCACCCACACATGGTAGCGTGCACACGTGTATACCTCTTTAATTTTCCACTCCTCTCTCTGGGCCTTATCAGAATCTCATTTGCTTAAAAACAGACAGTGTATGGATTTCAAGCTCTCTCTTCTTCACTTGTCTCTTTTATCTTGCCATTTTGTGTTTACTCAAACTAAAGGAAGCACTCCACCTCTCCGCCCTTTCTACCATTTCACAGACAAGACGCAAAATCCAGGATATTTAGAGATGAGTAGGGGAAGATGGAGGCTGCTTAGCACACAACTATTTTCTGGTCCTTTGAGGTCAGAGACAAAAATGTGACATCAAAATGTTTGTTTTCTTTGGTGATGGTAACATTTGTTTATAGTATTGAAAGTAAAAAAGTGGTCTGTGGACTAAACATATTTTAAAACTGTGTTAGAGATATTGGAAAGTTGTTTCCTCTGGTTAGTTATTAGACAAAGGAATCAGCTACATTTTGATATAAGATTTGATTGTCTGCAATGGGTGATAATTAAAATAATAGTATTTATTTGTATAGGACTTACATAAACAAGGTTACTAAGTGCTTCACAAAGTGCATAAAAGTAAGACAACAAAACAATACAAAGGAAAGAAATCACAAAAGTTACAAATCAGGCACTAAAAAGGAAAGCTTTCCTATGAAAACATGTTTTAAGCAATTATTTAAAAATAGGTAATGTGCTAGCCAGCCTGATCTCCTCAGGCAGAGACTTCCAGAGCCTCAGGGCCTTGATGGCAAAAGCCCGGTCCCCACTAGTTACCAACCTTGATCTAGGGACGACTAGTGAAGGTAGGCTTCAGGATCTCAGGTCATGACTCGGAGCAGGTAGTCAGAGGCTCAGCTATATAACTCAGCGCTAAGCCATGTTGAACTTTAAAAGTTATTAAAAGAATCTTAAAAATCAGTTCTAAAATTAACTGGCAACCAGTGGGGGAGGCGAGAATTGTCCCAGTTAAAATACGAGCTGCAGCATTCTGTAGTTGAAGCCAAGCTACTGAGGATTTACTGAGGCACGTAAACAATGCATGATCACTAGCTGACATAGTTTCATCATAAAGGTGGGTTAAATGTGAGCGGAGTTGGTTGGCACGTGTCAACCAATTGTAAAATTAATATTTGTAACTGTAACTGTGTTTTGAAAGATTAAAACTATTTTTGAAAGTATAAAAACAATGTTTATATTGTTAATTTATTATTATTTTGAATGGTCAGTGGCAAAAGTAATTGGGCATTTACAAATGAAATGCTTAAAAATGTTTTGGTTTTTTAAAAAATGAGCAGATATTCTATTAAATGTTCATGTTTTCTGGTTCTTGTTTAAATCAAATGTCCAAATTGTTTCTATTGGTTACTTTATGTTTTTTGTAACTATAGCATTTTTTCCATTGCGCCTACCAACTCATGAGGTGTTTCAGCACAAATGCAAAACATTTGTGACTTACATCACAAATCACCTAATTTCAGAAAACAGTTCCATTTTTCATTTTCAAACATTCATGGAGTGGGTCCATTCTTCGATATTAATTTCAATAGCGTTTAGCCCCAACTGAGTATGCACTCTGGGGTAAAATGTGCTGTGACACACACCCCAAAAGACGGACATGTCCAGGAAACTTTCCAAAAATAAAATCCATCCAATTGTCTGCTACATCTGATCTGTTTGATGCACTGCAACCAGGAATAATACATTTTTCAAGGCCAGTTTTTGGTGACATGGTTACATTGTCCTGCTTGGCTCTTGTCTCGCAATGAGACACCTCCCTGGAAAGGGGCAGGGCTATGACGACTGGTTATCTGGTTTTGACGTAGAAACTGGATCAGAATCTTACTGGCGTGTAAAGCTACAAGGTGGTCTGATTTTGAGGGAGCTAGAGGAATGGCAGTGGTAGGCAACTTCACATTTTCATGGCTTTTATTTTACAACCTTGTGTTTATAACAAACACAAATGCATTTTCGCAATATGGGACCTTTAAATATATAAAAATAGATATTTAAAAAAATCGAAATATAAAACATATTTATCTATAGCTGAGAGTCCTTCATCTTTCATCTGCTGCTAGTTAGAATGATCAAACAAAAGTTATCTTGGGAAGTACGGCAGAGAGTGAAAAGTCTCCCCCTGTCAGAAACTCAGGTGAAATTTGGGTGAACCGACCCTTTAAAACAAACATCACATACATGATGAGCTGCAGTGAAGAAAACTGTGCACAACACACATCGATTTGTTTCTGTTTTTATTAAACTTTTTGAAAGTATTAAAGTTGAAAAGAAGATAAATAAAGCTGTGAGTGTGACTGTTTCCGTCAGTGTGTCTGTGTGTTTCTGTGTTTAATGCTGCATGTGTGTGTTCTCCGTCAGTGTGTGTGTGAGCTCCGGGTTTGGATCCCAGTTCGCCAGCAGGTCACTGAAGTCCGGCTGAGCGCTGTCGAGGGTGTGTGTGTTGTGATGTGGAAGTGCGTTGTAGTGCATGTGTGTGTTAGCGTCTGTGTGTGTGCTGTCCTGTGAAGGTGTGTCACTGTTTGCGTGTGTGACGTCAGGTGCGTTGCTGAAACTGACCACAGAGCAGCAGGGGATCGGCTCAGTCCAGAAACTGAGCGGGAGATGCCGCTTGATCATCGGTCGGCTGCGGCCCTGACTTTGGCCCCTGTGGTTGAACAGTTCAGCCAGGGGCCCCAAACCGCTGTTGCCCTTAGCAACCCCGACTCCTTGATCATCAGCACAAGTGGCCAAGCTGCTTTCTTGCTCCTCTGGACTTCCTGCTCTTGCGATTTTCAGCAGGTCATCATAGTAACGCAGACGCCCGCTGGTGGCGACGGAAACTGAGTCGCTGTAGATGTCACAAGCTTCTTGATCACCAGAGCAGTGACCGAAATACCGCTGGACGTCACGGCTGATGAGATCTGCAAACCTCAGCAGCCGCTTGGTCACATCCAAAGTGTGGTGGGTGGGATTTAAGAAAACCTCGTCCAAACATTCCTCCTCTTCCTCCTGTGCTTCAGATTCTTCATCCTCCTCCTCAACCTCTCTTTCTTCCTCATCTTCTCTGACCTCTGGCTTTTCCTCCAGAATCTCCACATCTTCATCTTTCCTGCATGGAGAGTGCTGGAAAATCAGGGGGTAGTAGGCTGGAGTCGGGGCCTGGACGAGGAAGCTTCTGATGACGCCTGCTGCCATGTTGGCTCATTGACACTGGAGAGACAGTAACAGAGGAGAAAAACTAAGAATTTAATAGGAAAGCATTTTGTTGAAAGGATAAAAAAGTAAATTGGTTGAAAAAGAACATTTTAATTACCTTAAGTGCCAGGTTCAGATGAATCTGTGCTTAAATCAGAGGTCCGTCCTGGGTCATTGATGGATCCACTTTTCTGTGTGTGTGTGTGCATATGTAATACTGGACCGTCAGGATTGTCAGTGTATATATACCTCAGCACACCGCTGCAGACGCGTGTGTGTCTCCCGTCGGATGAGGCAGCTTCCAGAACAAATATTTGCATGCCGGATTGGCCAAACACACTTTGTTTACTTTATCACCGGGCAACCGCAGAGGGGGTCCAAGGCTAATGGATCCTCTGCTAGGGGATGATGGAGAGTAGTTGTACATACACACACGCCCGAACACACACACATCGTTGTTTTTTCCCGTCCCTGTTATCAGACTAGTTAAAGGATAAAAGAGCATGAAATCAAATCATATGCTGTTTTGACTTCTAAAGGGGAACACTCTGAACTGACATCAGCAGACTGAGATACAACCTGGGTGGACGCAGCTCTCCTCAGAACATGATGCACTATAATGTTCTTTAAGTGGGAAGCATCACGACATGAGATCAGACTCGCAAGAGTCAACCTCGTCAACCTGCCAATCCTCGTCTTCAGAAAGATGATAGCATGCTCAGACACACCATCAGTTTTACCTGTGGCTATTGGCTCACTTGCTGAATAAAAATTCTGAAAAGGCTGTTGGAGGAGAGACGCAGGTGCCAACAGATCAAGTTTTAGAAGAGAGCAAAGTGCCCTCGAGCTGCCCGATGAGCAGATTAGCACTTTGACTGAAACCTACTGAAACCTACTAGAATGTCATCTCAAAGAATAAGGATTGTATTATTTCCTATTTTTGTTAGTGTAAACACATCTCATAAAAGATCCCTCAGCCCAAATGCCAATTAGCACAAACTTAAGACTCTTAAAAACAAGTCCTAAACTTCCCGAAACAGCCAGGCACTGCAGTTTTTTAGCAAATGAGACTCAAATAGGGCTCATTAGGGTCTACTTTCAGCTGTGGATTAATACACATTTGGTGCTCTGGTGAATATTTACAACAGCAGGATGGTGTATGTGGAATTAACTCAAAATAAACTACATGTCACTCAGTGCAAGTGTGGCTCATTCATGTGATTTTAAGAGATTTGGGGCAACAAAGGAATGCAACTTTGGCTACACAGACAATATATGTTTTGGTTTTGGCCTTTTTTTCTGATAATAAGGAAAATATACAATATCACTCTTATATTTTCAGACTCCTACAGTATGATCTTAACGTAATTTCCCCTAAACATGACTTGGATGCTTTATTTGCCCAAAGATCCTGATGAATCCCTAAACTAGCTTGAAAGTCATAAAAAGACAAACTAATTTTTAAGTAGCTTTTCTGTCTTGAACTGTACTAGCTAATGGGATAAATTTATTTCAGTGTGGCCGAGAGGTTTTTACTCGCTGCATATAAAAATCTGTGGGTGTATATTACAAGCAAATGTTCAATTCAACATATAAAGACTTTCCAATACTGAATAAATCAGTCAGATTGTCCAGTTATTAAAATTTTAGCAGCTGTTTCTAAAAAATGGGAAGTTCACACATTTGTGCTCTTCTGTTTTCTGCAACTACTTTATGATTTCATATTTTTTTCTTTACAAGCCCAAACACATACATACATGGACTTACCAAGAAGGACATTTTCTCTCAAAGAACTATCAAATTTCTCAGAAAAATAAACTACCTGACACATTTGTAAAACAGGATTCACCATATTCTCTGTGTCCTCACACTTTACTAAAGCTCTTTAAAACAGGACTGTAAATAAGTCTAAAATACTTAAAAACAGGACATGTTTTTACAGTGAGGTCATTTTATCAAATGAAAATGTTGTAGATGTTCTGTGCAATTTCAAACTGATTTGCATTTCCTCAACATTGAACCAGAAATATTCTCGATCTTTGGAATCACAGAGATCTTTGCTACAATCAAAACAAAGTACAGTTGATTTGAACAATGATGAGCAGCACAATATTTGTCAGTGGCGTGTCGCTTTTAGGAGATAAAGTCATGCTGGTTTACTTTACTCAAGATAACAGGATAAAGTAAACTTATCGTGTATGCACAACATGTAAGCGCATGGATATAATGTGTCATAAAAGCAGTGATTCAATGATTCTAGGTCTCACTGATTAAGTTCTGCACTTCACCAGACTTCACCGACCTTTACAGACATCTGTAACTCTGTAAATATGTGCATGTGCTTCTGTTTATATGTGCATGATGAGCATTAATGTGTGTTTGTGTGTGTGTGTGTGTGTGTGTGTGTGTTATCAGGACACCCTGACTCCCCTGGCCTGCCTGTCATTAGTATCCAGGCTTCTGTGTTGATTTTAGGACTAAAGATCAATAGCGGCAATATGTCAGCTCTCAAGAGCCTGACAATGAATTACACACGTTTTTAGGCACACAAGCACATGGACACACACACACACACACACACACACACACACACAGATTTTTCCGATAAGTGAAATTCATTATAATGATTTAAGAGTAACAAACAAACTCATTCCACCTACAATCTTACATCAATGTTTCAGAGACAAGCTTCTTGAAATGATAGAATTACATATATACACTGATCAGCCAAAACATTAAAACCACTGACAGGTGAAGTGAACACTGATTATCTTGTAAAAACATCATGACAGACCAAGTACACCCTCTCAGTCACAGTGTACCATGCCACACTGCAAAAACTGCTCCAGAATGGCCCGACAGATCTGACCAAGAGCACTTTGGAGGCCAGGTCGACAGCCTGAGCTCTTTGTCACGTTTCTCGGGCCAGTCCTGAGCAGTTTGTGCTGTGTGGCATTGTGTTGTGCTGAGGGGGTCACTGCTATTGGCAGTGAGGGGGTGTAATTGGTTTTAACAGTGTTTGAGCAGGTGATGTGTGTCAAGTGGTATCCACATAAATGTCAGGATCCAAGTTTTCCCAGCAGAACATTGCACTGTAAGGAACTCAAACTGCAAAGCAAAACACTAAATTAAACGTCCGTATTGTCAAACTCTAGATGGTCTTTGTGATCAGTTTCAGGTCTTTTAATAGCTGTTCTCAAGCTGTGCCAGAACCTGGGAATCTGGCCGTCATCATCAGGCCACTCCAGGTACGTCCTGGAGTTCATGACTCTCCGCAGCTTGCAGAACTTTTTGGGGATGGTCTCTTTGTCAATAGGCTCCAACAGAATCAGCACAACTGTGTCGTCATTTTGGTCAAACAGTCTAAAATGGGTGTAATCCAGCTCGTACTTGCACCACTCACTCCTGATGAAATGCTGAGAAAGGACAAACAGAGTTCTGTGACTCTTCTCGATGGCGTCCATGATGTTGTCCAAGATCCAGCCTCCGGGAACAAAGTCTCTCTTGTGGAGGCAGAGCTGGAGAGGAGGCTCGGCCTGCTCCAGCTCTGGGACCAGATATGTTTCAACCCAGCCAGAGTCCATGTCACTGTAGGACACGAAGGCGTCATACTCAAGCTCTCCCTTTTTTAACTTTGGCTTTCTCTTGGCTCTCAGCCAGGCCCAGGTCATCTTCATGTACCACAAAACGCTGAATTTGTGACACAAACCTGCAACAAGCAGAAACACTAGCAGTATGCCTGAGCAGAGTAAAGAAAAAGCTAAAGCTGTGTGGCACTCAAACACCGACAACCTCGCATCTAACGCGCTCTTTCCTCTTGTAGAGTCAGGGGACTCACAGATGTATGACTTGAACTCATCTCCAATTGTGACTCGATGATTAGTCCAGTCAGTCGTCATGAAAGCTACGAAGTCACATGAACAGACAAATGTGTTAGCACCAGCCTCCAGGCTCGTCAGACTATTATAATCATTTAGACTTTTGCTGCTGATTGTATGCAAGTTGTTGTTTTGAATGGAGACAAATACAACACTAGGATATAAACCCCCATCTGGCAAATGACTGATCTTGTTGCCAGAGATGTATAAATCTGTGAGAAAAGGTAGTTCGATGTTGAACACGGTCAAATCGTTGTCTGACAGATCGAGGACACGTAAACTCACAGGCAAACAGGTGGTGACTTTTGTTAAATGTGTTGATGAAAGGTTTAAGAATTGGAGACTTGGTGGCCAGTAACAAATATCAGGCATTTTATGAAATATGTTTCCACTCATGTCAATATTTTTAAGTTCATTTAGTTTGGTGAAGAGCTGGCTGTTGATTGAATGCAGGTAATTCCTGCTGATATTGATGGTTTGCAGAAGCCTAAAATCACTATCGCCATTGCACATGATGTTACTAAGGGCCATATCAGTAATCAAGTTGTCACTGAAGTCCAAATACTCAAGCCTTGTAAGAGTGGCAGCAGATTCACAAGGCAGGAGGTACACCTTGCAGTTCTGCACAGTCACCCTTCGCAACACTGGTAGCAGAGATTCATCGGCAAGTAGAGCTGGGAAGAGGTAAAAAGCAGGGACATCAACGTTTTTCACTACAATAGCCTCCAAATGGCCCAAGCTTGAGGGAAAACTCATGCCACCCGACAATCTTAAGACCAATTTAGAATCTTCTAATGTCAGCATGTTTAATCTGGAGTCTGACATCCAATTCATAAACGCCAAAAAAGCTGAAATCGTCATGACAACATTTTTAAAAATAACACTTGTAGTTCCGCCATGGTATGCCGCTCTAAATGGGGACATATAAGTGTCCTTGGTGAAGCGTGTGTCAGTGAATGTCAGCGTTGTGTTTGGGTGTACAACATCAGACAATATAGTTTCTGCCAGCGCTTGATTTTCCTTAAACAGACCATTCAGACCAAGTGTTACATATTTAACTGGCCCAACTTCTCTCAAACTTCCTCTTTTGTAGTCTTGTAGATTCTTTCCATCAAAAACAACCTCTTCAAGACCACTGAGGCCAGAGAAGTCACTTTTTCTGACAGACTGAAGTTCAGGTCCTCCAAAATATAGGGTCTTTAATTTCTTCAGTGGCTGGAAAAGATTACCTTGACCCAACATTTTATATTCGTTCCCCAAAAGATTTAAGTGCTGAAGAGAAACAAGATTCTCAAACCATCCAGCAGACAACATCTCCAGTTTGTTGAAGGACAAGTCCAACTTCTCCAAATTTGTCAGCGGGACAAATGCTTGCTCATGGATTTTTTGGATGCTGTTGTTATTCATGATCAAAGACCGTAAACTGGCAAATGCTGCAAAGTCATCTTTCATTATTGTCCTCAGTTCGTTGCATGAGAGATCAAGTTGAGTGATGAGCTTTGAAGGGGCCGCAGGGACGGTGGTCAGGTTTTGTCCTGAGCAGTTACAGGATGTTTGTTCACAGCTGTGACACTGTGGTCTGGAGAGTGAGAAGCTTTGATGTATTAGCAGAAGTACAAACGTGAGAAATGTAAAGATTCTCATCTTGATTCCCTATAAAACACAAAAGAAAAGAATCAGGCTTTATCTTGAAAACTGTCCTGCAAGCAATCTCAGAATAAAAAAATACAATTGTTGGCTGAGGCTACAACGATGACATACACATGGTCAGATCTATCAAACTACCCTGACATTATCTGAGATACATATTAAAAAGGCAAATAAACATTATGAATAAGACAGATGCTGTCTGACTTCCCCCCTAAAGGCATTTTGGGTAATTACAACAGATAACAGTAATATTTTTCTTGGGAAATACAGTTGCATTCATCATTTGTTTCACTACAATATGGGTCTTTTTCACAGCAGACATTTTGACTTATCATAGTAGGAAAAGTAAAGGTGCTTCTGATGATATTAAATATGGCTCTGTTCTATTTAAATATCCCATAAGACATGAAAATGTGACAGAGGGTATGTTTACATGCACACTATTCCACCATTATTTGAAATATGACAATATTCTGAATTTGACGCCCAGCATGTAAGCAACATAAGCCCGATATCCCAAATCAGGTCTTATTATGAAAGTAGCATCTTCAGGTAGAGACGTGGGATATGCTGGTATTATTCAGGTTTTAGAAACATCCTTTGGCTATGTATCGAGTGTGTTGCGAAAATGCATCTCAGCTGGGGTTTTAAACCACAATTTGTGATTCACGGCAACTTACCTGTTTACGTTTGTTGTCATGGACGCCTTGTAAACAAACCAAGGAAATTAGCCAACAGGTTATAAGCTTGGCACTGAGATGCAAGATTCGTGGTCAGACAAAGAAACACACCTACTTTTAAACATTATGACAGTCTTGGATATTGACAGGTTAGTATCGAAATGCCAACCTTTTCAAGAAGGTGGTTGAAGGAATGAAGGAGGGAGGCTGTGTTCACACAGTCGAACTAGTCTGCTGCTAGTGGAAAAAAAATTCCGAAAGAATCCCGGCACAAGTAACGGCAATTCCACTGTCCATATTTTCACGTGATAAAGGACATGTTAGAGCATGTTAATTGGAGTATACCTGGCTGAATGTAAACAGGAATATTAGTAGAATATTCATTTCCATTAGCCACGTAAACAGCTCAGTAGGAATATTGTTCTTTTTCGGAATAAAGGTAAAACACGTAATATTTTGTGCATGTAAATTTGGTCCCTGAGCCAGACTGCACAGTACTAGGACCATAAATGGAAACCAGCTATCACTAATTTTATCATTTACATTGTGATTTTTCTGCTGTGACATGTCAAAATGTCCCCTGGAAAGAGGCCAATAATGGAGGTAAAAGCATGTCACAAAACTTTTTTAAGTAAAATGGCACCTGCTTCACAGGTGTCCAGTTACTAGAAAATAATTCACACCTGCCACCCAGTCAGAATTGGTAATTTTATGTGTCTCAATTGCTAAAAAAAACATACATTATCTTACATCTTGTAATACTAACATATTTCTTTGGATACAGTTGTTTCTGTATCTAAATGATGTATCAGTGTGAATTTCAAAAGGAATTGCAATATTATATTTAGAAGTTTCTACCATTTACAAAATGTCAGATTGATTAATTTGTGTCTTTTAATACATCATTTGAATACATTAAAAACAACAATGTGAAATAGCTTTTTAAAATCTATTATCAAACACTGAAAACACCTATAGTAACTGCAGCAGCACACTCCACAGTCCATGAAGCCTGATAGAAGACTGAAAATAAAGTAAAAATACCTTCGTGAGTCTCCGTGTTACACTTACAGTTGAAGTATCCTCTTCTTCGGCACAATCGTGACTTGACAGAAGGATGTATTCAATGATTTAAGTGTTTCCTGCTTCACTAGTTATAGCCTGCCACAAATTAGGAAGTACAATGACAGAAATAATTTCCTGGCAGGGAGAGGTTCACAGGGAGGTTGTTGATTTCTTTGGTCTCACATTTCGGTTGCATGTAGAGCTGACAGAGGTTGTCACGTGACGGATGGGCAGCCAGCTTTTGTTTGAACAAAAATACACTACTCAAAAAATGAAGGGAACACTTAACCGTCACAGTATAACACCAAGTCAGCTGAACTTCAGGGATATCAGTGATCACAAGTGATTGTGAATCAGTTTCAGCTGCATTGGTGCAAACAAAAGTGACAAAAGGTGCAAAGGAGAGGCAAAAGTAAGACAACCTCCAAAGAGGGAATGGTTTTACATGTGGTGGTCACAGACAGTCGCTCTCTCCTTATCCTTCCTGACTGATTCTTCTCTAATTTTGTGTTCTGCTCGCATCCTTGTCACCAAGGACCTGCAGCCCAATCAGGTTACACAGGTAGTCCAGCTCCTCTAGGATGGCATATGCTGTTTGCTGTGTCTCCCAGCACAGTGTTAAGAGCATGGAGGAGATACCAGGAGACTGGCCGTTACATAAGAGCTGGACAGGGCCGTAGAAGGGCATCAACCCAGAAGCAGGACCGGTATCTGCTCCTTAGAGCGAGGAGGAACAGGAGGAGCACTGCCAGACCCCTACAAAATGACCTCCAGCAGGCTACTGGTGTGCATGTTTCTGACAAAACTGTCAGAAACAGACTCCATGAGGGTGGCATGAGGGCCTGACGTCCTCTAGTGGGACCTGTGCTCACAGTCCAGAACCGTGCAGCTCGACTGGCATTCACCACAGAACACCAGAATTGGCAGGTCCGCCATTGGTGCCCTGTTCTCCTGACAGATGAGAGCAGGTTCACACTGAGCACATGTGACAGGCGTGACAGAATCTGGAGACACTGTGGTGAATATTATGCTGCCTGTAACATCATCCAGCATGACCGGTGCGGCGTCAGTGATGGTCTGGGGAGGCATATTCTTGGAGGGTTGCACAGACCTCCATGTCATAGACAACTGTATCCTGACTGCTGTTAGGTACCGGGATGAAATCTTCAGAGCGATTGTCAGACCTTACGCTGGTGCAGTGGGCCCTGGGTTCCTCCTGGTGCAGGACAATATGGGCCTAGTGCGGCCAGAGTGTGTCGGCAGTTCCTGGATGCGAAGGCACTGATGCTGTTGACTGGCCCTCCCGTCCCCCTGACCTAAATCCATTTTAAGCACCTATGGGACATCATGTATCGGTGCATCTGAAGCTGCCAAGTGCCACCACAGACTGTCCAGGAGCTTACTGATGCCCTGACCCAGGTCTGGGAGGAGATCCCCCAGGAAACCATTCACCTACTCATCGGGAGCATGCCCAGACGTTGTCAGGAATCCATACAGACTCGCGGGGGTCGTACACACGATCCACAAGTTGGATCAGCCTGCGATTTAAATTTTTTTACTTGATTTTCGGTGTGATTTTGAATCCAGCCCTCAGCAGGTTGACAATTTTGGTTTCCACTGACTGTTTTTATGTCATTTTGTTCTTAACAAATTATACAATGTACATCAGTTAAGACTTTCAACTTGAATAATTCATTGATCAAGATCTGATGTGATTTAAGTGTTGTCTATTTTTTTGAGTTGTGTATTTATGCAAAAACACTTGCCAGAAACAATAAAAAAAAAACTTAGGTGAGCGCTTCTTGCGTTGTGGCTGGGAGAAAAAACATAAACCAGCTTCACTTATCAAGTAAGATACATCAGTTAGACCCTGTAGATGTGGATGTAAATTTGTCTGTTTAAAGATTTGCCAAATGAGAGCTGGGAGAGGCTCAGAGCCAACCTGACTCTGCAGAGGGAAAATGGGTACACAACTGATAGATGCATGTGCACAGTATTCAAGCTGAAACTAGCTCTATCTGATCATCAAAAGCACTTGATTGGTGCGGGCATTTTCCCAAGCAACAAGGTGAGTCCAAGTATCACTGGAAATAATACTGAACCCACATTGCTCCCGCTGGCTCTGCCATCGGTGCGTGAGCATCTTTAAATGTTGAACTGAGCAACAGGTGGCTCCTTGTATGATAGTCTCAGCCATCAGTGTATGCATGTGTGTGAACGTGTGTATGTAACAAGTAATGTAAAAGCGCTGAGTGGTCAGAAGAGCCAGAGAAAGGTGCTTTACAAGTGCAAGTCCATTTACTAAAGCATGTTTTTTCTTTTGTTTCTAACAACAGGGCAAAAGACTGGTGATGCTCGTCAGTCTAGGACAAGACTCAATATTTCAACTACTTTCCTTGATCAACACTTGTTGGTTTAAAAAAAGGATCTGCAGATCAAATAGCCAGTTTGCTAGTTTACAACAAATACAAATTTCAACTCTAAATATTTGAATATACTGTTGTGGTCTTTGAAGGAACTCTACAATCACCATACAGAGAACATCACATCAAATTTGGGAAATATAGGTCCGAAAGTGGGGACTTTACCACTTTCTACAAAATGGGAAATTTGGGGTTTGTTTCTGAAACTTGTTTTTCCTTCTTTCGTAATTTAGTTTTGGGAATATTTTCACACACACACCACACACACACAGATGACAAGCTGCGGCTTGAGGGGCAGGGGTGAAGAAGAATGAAAAGGGAACCAGCTGCATGTGCTGATGTATACAGTTTTGTAGCATGTGGGGCAGCCTGCATCATGTTTTCTACACAGCCTTTAAGGCAAAAGCTTTAAATCTTATGACGATTAGGATTAGGAATATGACAAAACGCTTTGAAAAATGACAGTAATAGTCAAAGGGTGCAGACAGAAAGAGAGAGTGGTAGAGGCAGATAAATTTAAATGCTACATTCTGTTATTCAATAAAAACTGATGTGTTGTTCAAGTACAAAACCTTTTTTTTTTATTTTCTATGATCAAAACTGCAAAACATCTAGAAAAATATACAACAAATCAACCTTTCACAACATTTAACATTTGAAAATGGGAACATAAAAGAGAAGGAATATTCACATTTTCCCCATTAATGATAAAAGAACATTCATTTTTATTTCCTTTCTTTTACATATCAATGTTTTATATGTTTGCAATTATTGTTTAAGGTCTGCCGCTTTGTTTTTGTTTTTATAAATTTATTTCAAACGTCTC